ATTATTTATTCTACTACTGATAGTTGTATAAAGGTAGTAAATCTAGATGGAAATTGTGGCAGAACTTAAATTAACAGTGACACTATCGCGATTTATCGAAAAAGACTCTAAAATAGTTGGTTGTGTAGCGTGCGGTAGATCTCGGCAAAAATTGAGTGAAATAATGGAACAACTTTTCGCTAGTAAGTGACTATATAATATACATACGTGTAGTAAACCGATCATTTATGAAATTCACTTAAATTAACTAAATTATATATTTTTCTTGCATTTTTAGCTTTTATTTATTGCTTGTCAAAGATTAGATGTCAAAGAATTTAGATACGTTAATTTGACTTACATGCTTCAGTAGCGTATCGGATGTTTGTGTTAATAAATACTTATTATAACTTATCTATTTTTATTAGAATTATATATTTTATAACAATTTTAATAACTACCAACATTTATTCACAACGTAAAATAAAACAACAAATTATTGAGTCTACCCCACGTCTACCCTACATCATAGTTTTACATTTTTTAAATAAAATTAGAACGACACTGATAAACCGGAATCTAAGTCGGCCATATTTGAGGCCCATCGCGGTGTACCTAAGATTTTTGATATGCTCCTTCCTTAGTCTTCTTATTCAAATATACTAACATATAAAGTCCTTGAGTGACTGACATACTGATTAATCACGATTCTGCTAAAACCAATCAACGTAAGAAGCTCAATTTTGGCACACAAGTTGATTTTAGGGTGTAGAGGTTCGATAAGAAGCGATTTTTCGAAATTCCAGTTCCAAGAGGGTGAAACCACCCCTCAAGTATTACAATATTTTTTATTTAAAAAACGGCCAAGTTTCCGAAAAAACGCTTAAACACGTATATTTTATTTTGTTTTTTTTACATATTTTAAGATTTTTTAAAAATGTATACAGGGTGTTTCGAAAAATCTGGACATTAATCACGATTCTGCTTAAACTGCTTGACGTTTAAAGCTGATTTTTGGCAAACGGATTGACTGTGGGGTGTAGAGGTTCGATAAGGAGGGGTTTCTCGAATCTCAAATTCCAAGAGGGTGAAAACGCCCCTCAAATATTACAATATTTGTTATTTAAAAAAGGGTTAGTCTTTCGCGAAAACGCTTGGACAAGCATAATTTATTTGTTTTTTTTACATATTTTGAAATTTTTTAAAAAAATCATACAGGGTGTTCCAAAAAGTAGGGTAATTTCTTAACCACGATTCTGCTTAAACTGCTTGACGTAAAAAGCTTATTTTTGGCAAACGGATTTTTCGGAAGTCAAATTCCAACGAGATGTAACTACCCCTCAAATATTACCAAGTTATATAATAATATCGCCATATTGTTTTTTCTCATGCTGACATAAATGTGAGAAAATTTTATTCAGTTTGTATGTTAATGGAAATTCTTGCTTTGCTTTATTATCACCATTACAAACGATTAATTCGACGCGAACGAAGTCGCTGGTACACGCTAGTCTATTATAAATTATTGTAGCAGATCACGTACCAGATGTTGTTTCGGCCGTTGAATTCATATTAATCGTGGTATTGTGGTTTTTTGTGTGTTTGTGACCAAGCAGACAAAACAGTGACAAGACAGAAACATTCATGTTTTACGACAAAGTTGTGACAAATCCAATACATTTCTGCGACATTTTTGTCTCATTTTTGTTTTGTTTCAAAATTCGGAGAATTTTCAATGTCCCGTCTCGAGTCGGTAAATATAAAAGTGTCTATGTTTTGTTTGTATATTTTACGACAAGTCGTCGGCGCAGTGTGGATGGCGTGTGCTGCCAACAGTAGGAGACCAGTGAAATCACACATAGTTAATAAAACTCATTCGCAATCACTAAACTTTTGACTTTATTGTACTTTTGACATTGCGGTGTGGACAATTTGTCTCAAGTTTGTCTTGTCAGAAGTCTCCATTTTTTGTGACAAGTTTGTCTTGTTTTTGTCTCAAAATCCTGTTTACTTTTTGTCGCCTTGGTCTGGACCCGGCATTATATTTTATTTGTTGTCTGTATTCGTTTCTTTCTGTATTGCGATATGATTATATACCTTTAAAAAAATCGTTATAAACGAAATGGCCCTAGTTATGTCTCCGCTAGCAAAACCGGTACGTAAAACTATGCTAGCTACCGTAGTTGAACTCATCTAAAAAGTTTTATTAGTTTGAATAATAGATTATACTACAAGTTAGACCTTCTGAAGATATCAAAATATTATTTTTTTTTTATTTTACTTTTTACTGACATTATTTACTTGGGCTAAATAAATATGTGGTGCCTGAAAGGCTTATTAATACTACAGAATGTTCAGGTATAGTTCAACATCACGTCATATATTGTCGAACTCTCTCAACCACTTGCCTATCAGATGAAAGAGATTGGTGGCGTCATTACTGCATTTCGTAAATTACTGTATCCAGGGTTGTTCACCACATACGACACGGAGTATTGTAGCTAAACGATGAGATTTACAAATTGTAAGTTTTGGGTTCGGCGAATTTAAAAATAATTTTACAAGATACAGAGTGTCCCAAATAAGTAAAAAAATATCAAAGGTGTATTTTTTTAAATGGAACACCCTGTATATTATTACATTTTTAGTTTCTACGATTAAAATAAAGGTAAATTTGATTAAGATTTATTATACTTAAACCTTACCGTTTTTAAAATATTTTCAATTTTGTGAAATTGCAGTAAAAATTTTAAGGCTTCATTTCTCCAAGGGTATCAAAGTTTTTAATACTAAATATTTACTGAAGTTTATTTACTGATCAGTTATTGTGTTACAATAATAAAAATAATACTACCTTATACAGAGTGTCTAAAAATTTATTTTAAATAATTATTAGCTTCAAACGGCAATAACTTGTTTAATTTAAATGGAACACCCTGTATATTTTACGAGAATCAGATGCACAATTTAATTGTCTATCAAATTATGTTATACCATTTTTTACCTATCTCTTTAAGTTTCCGTAGAAAATGCATTTTCTTGTAATTTAGAACTTATTTATCAATATACCCATGGACTATTGACATTTTAGATTATTTTTTAAAGATGTACCAAATTTAAAGAGTACAAATATTAATATTGTCGATATAATTCGTTTATTTCATTAAAAAATAAAAAAAAACTGTTTAAATATTTGTTAAAGAGGATCAGTTAATATGATTCCAGTATTCAAACAACATTAACTGACTGTTTGCTTTGATTAATAATAATTGCTCCAAATACTAAAAAACTGAATTTTGTATGGGCATTAGACAGTGTGATAAAAAGTAACACCTTAAAAATGATATTTCATTTTTTAATAAATGCTTATTTATAACTACAGAGACTTTAATTTGATAACTTATTATTATATTGATTTCTGACTCAAATCCACATTTATTTATAATAATTTAATAACGAACACAATTAAGTATGTAATTAATTAGTATATGGGCGCAAATAATGGTGTTATATTTAATTAATGGTATACTCTTTTATAAAGATTTAAATAGTTTTCTTTTTGCATACAAATGGGCTAGTAATATTATCGTTTTGCTAAAAACGATAATATTACTAGTCTGTACATTTTGTACATTTGTTGCTTTAAAAACAATCTAAAATGTCAATATTCCATTGATATATTGATAAATGAGGTCTAAATTATAAGAAAATGCATTTTATACGAAAACTTGAAGGGATAGGTAAAAAATGGTATAATACAATTTGATAGACAATTTAATTGTGCATCTGATTCTCCTAAAATATACAGGGCATTCCATTTAAATTAAAGAAGTTATTGCCGTTTGAAGCTAATAATTATTTAAAATAAATTTTTAGACACTCTGTATAAGGTAGTATTATTTTTATTATTGCAACGCAATAACTGATCAATAAATAAACTTCATTAAATATTATTAAAAAACATTGATACCCTTTGGAGAAATGAAGCTTTAAAATTTTTACTGTAATTTCACAAAATTGAAAATATTTCAAAAACGGTAAGGTTTAAGTATAATAAACCTTAATCAAATTTACCGTTATTTTAATCGTAGAAACTAAAAATGTAATAATATACAGAGCGTTCCATTTAAAAAAATACAACTTTGATATTTTTTATTTATTTGGGACACTCTGTATCTTGTAAAAATATGTTTAAATTGTAGCTCTAATAGTCCTTCAACGAACCCCAAACTTACAATTTGTAAAAATCTCATCGTTTAGCTACAATACTCCGTGTCGTATGTGGTGAACAACCCTGTATATTTTTAGTAATTGTCATTGTCATTTGATTTCTTCTTCTTCTTGTCAAACTCTCCTTTTCAGGAGAGAGTTGCGTTGCCTAGCCAGGGCCATTCTGGCAAAGTACTTTTCTGCTTTTCTTTTTTCTGGGTTTGGAGTCATAATTTTATTGACGGACATCGATCAAGTCAAAATTAAAATGTAATTGTTGCTGTTAAATAAAATTCAAATTTTTTATTGAAAAAATGCCTCAAAGATTTAACCAAAATGAACAGTGGCTCATTGCTAAGTTAATAAATTATTTTTCTCGAGGAAGAGACGCTGGTAGAACACTCTTGCCCGTGGACGCGGTATTATATGAAGTAAGTACAATGCAAAGGTGTAATATTTCTATGTAAGATACAAATTGATAGCGTTTTTAAAAAATACAAGTTGCTGATGCTCCAAAAATAGGAATTTTAACAGTCCAAAGGAGTGGAATTAAAGGGATCATAACTGATGAAGAGTTCAAGAAAAAATGAACAAATGCCGAAAAACCAGAACTCGCTCAATCAATAATATAGGAACGTACTTAAAATTTTCTAAACAATATCAACTGATCTCAGACACAACCTAAAACTAATATTTGACAGATAATGATGACGTAACGGTGAACAACGGCTGAACTGTCTTTATATTATTATAATTATTGTGCTGTGTGAAACATGTTGGAATGTTTTTATTTAACAGGTCATTAAGCTTACCTTTGGATGATCCCTTACAGGAACAGCCACTCTGACGGCGACCTTAATAGGTTTATCTCTGGTAATATCTACCATTCTTCTGCTGTCACTGGAGCCTTTGTTCCCTGGAACAAACACGAAATTAATTTCAAACAGTAAGAGAGTGTTTTCAGGTTAATTAAGCTTTAAATTAAATAACGTATTTGGAAGCCTCTTGGATCTTAGTTATTAATTGAAACAGTAATTTGTAAGGTTTTTTTCTTCTATATTAAATATTATCAAATATTAAAATGATATTACATAATAGAAAAAAATATGAGACGCATTTATTTTTTTTGAAAAAATCTGGGTATTTCGCCACTTAAACTGAAATCTGAAAAAGAACGTTTTTTTGTGAAATGCCACATCATTAAAATTCAAGCTTGCCACAAAATTAATAAATAAACTTAATTTCATTTCATTGAAATGTTCTATCTAAATCATGTCGTCACTTTTATCTTTTTGTTTTGTAGTAAATTGATCATAGTCCAATATTATATCTTGTGTCTGCATTCCTGAAATTCCTTTCGTAGACACAGGTCCAGTAAACGAATATTATTTCTTTTGATATCACAACATGAATATTCTGTATATTGAATACTTCGCTATAGTTGTCATAAAATACGTATACCTGGTGCATCTCAAAAGTGGCTCACCCCTACAACTTTTTTTATTTTTTCAGATAAAAAAAATGAGATTTGGTATGTATAACATACCAAATTAGTGTATATAACATACATTAGGATTGATTGACGTATTCAACTGTTGTTGGTCACTTCCTGTTTCATTAGAAATGACTACAACTTTTGGTTTTTAAATGACACCCGGTATATTTCTACTTTATTCGATAGAAAATGACACTCTGAATAGAATGACACATCATATGTCAACTTTTGACATTTTTTGCGTATGATTTATTTGAAATTGTAACAAGCGGCTCATAACGACAATTTGACATGAACTACCAAGTGTGTGGTACCAATTTACTTTTTCCAAATATGCTAATGAGCCACCCTTTTGTTCCATTTGAAAAAATTGAGATATGATTAAAAATATGATTTGGGCATATTTTAACCGCCCAGTACAAAACACGAAAAACATTAGACGATCAAATATATTTTTCCAAGGCTTTCTGATTAAAAATTAGTGTTTTAACACAGCCATGGACACTCTAGATAAAATTTAAAATATTAATTTTCAAGCGAGAACGTCAAAAGTTGACATATGATATGTCACTCTATTCAGAGTGTCATTTTCTCTCGAATGAAGTAGAAATATACCGAGGGTGTCATTTAAAAATCAAAAGTTGTAGTCATTTTCGGTGAAACAGAAAGTGACCAAAAACAATTGAATAAGTCAATCAGTCCTAATTTATGTCATATATTAACATACGAAATCTTTTTTAAATTAAAACGACCACTTTCAAGATGCACCCGGTGTGTAAAAATTAAGCTTGTAAAAATACGTCCAATTTTTTGGTTGTTGTTATTTTTTAGCGGTCCACTGAAATTAAAAATATTTAAAAATTCCTACCCTCATTACGTCGTCTAACTCGAAAAAGCCACAAACATAATAAAAAACGGCCGTATTTGCTTTCCTGCCCAAAACAAACCGAAAAATTAATCGCATATCACCGGCTTTTTCACACTTTTTCCAGCGTTAATTAAAGTCTCGGAATGGCTTTATTTAAAGCAGAAGAGGTTGCTAAAAAGTTTTTATCTAACGCACAGATAAATCCTCTTTAAATTTATGGCAGGCCAATCTAAAAAGGGGACGAACGAAGAAGAAATAAAATAAAGATTGGTGATGCGAAAAATATCGAATTCTAGGACTTTCGGTTTTATAGGGATTGAGTTCTTTATGGCAGTAATATTATCAAATGTTTATCTATTAAAAATAGATGGGCATTATCTTAACAATCTAAGATTCGCTGATGACATAGTTCTAATTGCCAATAGTCATAAAGAACTACAAGCACAAATTAACGAACTAAATAGAGCCAGCAATAAAGAAGGTCTCAAAATGAATTTAGCAAAAATTAAAGGAACGTACAACGAACTAGAAAACAGAAAAGACATTCTAATAAATAATACAACACTGGAAATAGTAGAAAAATATATATATATTTGGGACAACTAATACACACCTCGGGATCTCTACTACCAGAAATCAACAAAAGTTTTAAGTTATTTAAGTTAGCATGGAGCTATGTTACTTATGCAAGAATCACAATCATTTTAAAATCTAGAATGCCACTGTAAAGAAGAAAACATTCGACCAATTGTAAAACTTGGAAAATCAGTTCGTTATAGTAATGCTTTATTTATTCACTATTCTAATAAAGAATACGCATTCCTTCGGAAACTCTCTATTTATTTATCTAGTAATGCTAAAACACTCTATTTGAAAGTCGAAGAGAAAATAGTATGATTCATTGGCAAGCGATGTAAATATTTGTGATCAGATAAAATTGTGATGTAAGAGGAGACTTAGCTTGCCGGCGGCGAGTCAGTAGTAGACGGGCCGGCCGGCTGTGTAGTGTTGTGTTTTGTCACAGAGCTGACAATTGGGGGTTGCGAGTCTTTTAACTATCATAGTTGCGAGTCGTTTTACTGTAAGGCAACGCGGTCGTTTGACCACAAGAAGAAAACCTCTATTGACGTCTTGCCTTCGAGTTGGTCTTGAGAGTTTGAGGTCTCCATAATGTCTTCTCGATTGAGGATGCGGCGTTGGGGTAGTGAGGTACCCCAATTAGCCTATTCGATTGGGATGCGAATCTGTTTAGCGGCAGATTTGCATCCGGGGGAAGCCCCTATACTATTTCAGGTGACACTAGCTAGTTGTTGAAGATTATTAACCAATAGATCAGAATAATATTTGAATTAGATGGAAGATATGGAATGGGATATATTGAATAGAATTTCAGTGATGTCAGTGACTAGGGGGCGGAGTACCCCCGGGTGAGTTTTACTATTTAACTATCAATTTTATCCAGATCAGTAAATGTTTGTTTTGTTATTTTCATGTACAATGAGAGAGTGCTTGCCAATGACCAACTAAATGGATATTTGAGGTGAATTTGCATTGTGAGACCCGGTTGAGTAAGCCCCAGAAATAAGCGATTTTACACAATGCGTACTACCAGTCACGACCTATGCATGCGAAACATGGACATTTAAAACGGACATCATAAGGAAACTGCAGGTCGCACAATGCTCAATGGAACAAAATATGCTGAAAATAACCAATAGAGACCGATAGAGTAAAAGAATAGAGTGGATACGACAAAGACCTAGGTAATAAATGTCATCCAAAGAATCAAATCCCTCAAGTGGCAATGGGTAGGACACCTGGCTAGAAGGACGGACAACAGATGGACCACAAAAATTACAGCACGGTACCCAAACCTGAGATGGGACCATGGTATTAGGAAATTAGCAGGGATAACTTGAGCCCGCATAGCCAACAAGAGACAACAATGGACCGAACTGCAAAGAGAGTATCTAAATATGTGAAGGAGGCTACACCATAATTAGAAATGGGTGAATAAGCTGAAGATGATGATGATAATGGTTTATAATAGCTCCCGTATACAGCGTACGTAACGCCTTGGTAGTACCAAGGTACAGCTTGCCATGCTAGAGCCGTTCGGTATACAAGGAAGGTAATGTGGCTAGCACTACGCTTCAACCTCCCATTATTACCTGAGGATTGTGAACCCTAAGTACTCAGTTAAGGCTGAATCGACCTAGGTACCCAAACTATTTTTATTTTAATAAAAATAGTCGGCTGATGAAATGACGGCTGTAAGATTCGAACCCTTAACCTTTAGATTGGTAGTCTAGAGCTGTACCTCTACGACATCGGGCACCTAGTATGTATAATAATTTATCTTAGTGTAATAGATATGATATATAATAATGATTTACCTTAGCGAAATAGATATGTAAGTAGCCTTAATTATAATCTGACAGTTATATCAGATATTTGAGAAGTCTTAATCAGATATTTGAGAAGTCTTGGTAAGTCTTAAATAAGCGCAAATATTTTTAGGGCTGGTAGATCTTGGTAAAAGAAACATATTTTCGCTTTACCGTTTTTCAAATATGTCCAACCAAGATATTTTACTTGAAAATAAAAAAAATGATTTTTAGCTTAAATTTATTATTAATTTTAATTAATGTCATATTCTCTGCTGTTGTTAAAGTATCATATTTTTCGATAACTATCATCACCCTTTCCGTAACATTGAGCTAAATAAATTTTATGCTTCTTTAACATTTTAAAACAACAAAAAACATTACGTTAATTAAAATTCTATGAATAGCCATCTATCAAAGAATGAAAACGAAGTTATATTACCATAGAAACGCGTTTTGATTTTTAGAACTTAGAAAATATTCAACCATATTTCCATGTTTTCCTTAATTTTCTCTAAAACGGTATGGAAATTTGGAATGTATACAGAACAGAAGAATTAAGCTTGATTTTCATGCATCCGTTATACGTTGGTACGTTGGTCCGATGGTGCTTTGATTGGTCATAGCATTTTCGCGCCACTATTCATCCGTAAATATTTTACTTCAGCCCGTCAACGGATCCGTTCATACGATAACGGACGTTTTGACACTTTTTTGACAAATTTAATCTAACCTTAATAAAAATATAAGTAAAATAGCAAAATCGTTATGGAAAGGAAAATATAAAATAACACCAACGTATATCCGATAAACGGAGGCATGAAAATGCAATAAATTTAAAAACTTCGTTATTTTCTAACCAATCAAAGTCTTTAAATTCTACCAGTAAAATTAATATCGTATCAACGTATCGTCGGACGACGGATGCATGAAAATCAAGCTTTAATCGTTTTAGAACAGGCAAAATTTTTTATGAAGAATGCATTTTTCTGAAAATGATAATAATAAAAAAGTTTTTCCTCTTGTAAAGACAATCCGGGGACATACTGTATTTAAGAACAACAAAATGCAACCTAGATCTGGCGTCAGGTATGCTTCTAGTAGAGAATTAAAAAAATAAACCACATTAACCTATGTACATATACAGAATTTTTGTACCTACTGCA